CTTCCTCTGAAATCTTTAAACAAATGAGTAAACAAAAGCTACATACAGAGGCATCGGCCTCATCATCAGCACATTTATTTCCCTTAGGCAGCTATAAAATTCTTGCTACATACGTTTACAACCTGGAAGTCCCGTGTTTGGCGGTTGCCGGAGATTATTTTGGTTGTATCTCGTCGTTTAACTTAGCCAGATGGCCCCCTGTAAAGTATACAAGTACACAGAGTCAAGCGCACCTTTGACTTTTATATATTATAATTATAGACAGGCCGACAGCAATCGAGAAGTTTATAACTCGGGCATATTTACGTTATCGACATCCGATGAGCTCGTGTTTGTTGTCTTCGTACATACACATACATACCTTCTTTAGGTATTTTTAGAATTGTGAAACAGTATAGCAGAAATATTTGGTTATACAATCAATTTTACCCTAAGCTAGATGCAAATATGCTTCGTCGTTTGGCTTTTAAAGCTTAAGAAACCTTTTTCCATTTTGACGCAAACCTGACCAAGACTGATTAATATCTATTTTTGAATACAGTAGAAGGACCCCGATTATCCGAAATAATGTGTACCCAAGTGCTTTCGGATAATAGAAATTTTGTAATTTTCAGGAAATTTTCTATGCGGAAAAATTAATTAATTAACGTACGGCATTGTTACAGTTACCTTTCTGTAATTTTTTACATTTAAAATTTACCAACGCCGTACATATCTGGTGGTACAGGGGTGAGAAAACTCGGGTCGCAACCCCTGCTTTAGACCTCTATGGTGGAAAGTCATCGGAAAATGTACGGCATTCATTTCAATCTCTTGTTTAACATCTAAAATAACTTTAAATAATAATGCCGTCTTAAAAATTTAGTTCGTATAAATATAAATAAATAATTACCAAAATTTGGGGGTGCAATATCATTTTCTTACAATAAAATCATAAGATACTATACGGCAATCAATTTTTGTTACAAAATTATATTAAATATTATTATATATATATTATATCATTTTACCACGGAGTCGTTTATAACACATGAAAATATATTAAAATAAAAAAAATATAAATTTTAAAAAATTTAAAGATTTATAAATGTACTATTTATTAATAACAAAAGTGATATTAAAAATTATTCTTGCTATTTTATATTTATCAAAGATTAAAAAACAAAAAGAAACATATGCCGTACATTTTTATTTACATACTTTTTTGCAGCGCATAAAAATATTGATTAAGTTTTAGGTGTCTCTAATGGCTATTAAATACTGTATGGCATAAACAAAATTATATTTATAACTATAAATGATTATGAAAAATTATTATGCCGTTCATTTTACATGGAACATTACGTATAGAACGGTGAAGTTCTGAGAAATATGCACCTGAAAGTTGACAACAAGATAATAGAACTTTGCGATGTAAGAGCGGTATATACAGGGTGACTTCGAAGTTGAGTCATTTATTTTAACAGTGAGTAGATCTGATCAAAAGAAATGTTTTTTTCCTTTACCATTTTTCTGGTAAAATTAAAATAACAAAGTTATAGCCCTTTGGAAGTTTGAGTACCGCCCTGTTCAATAATACTCGTAATATCATGTGCTCGTGTTTGGCAACAACGGATATAATCCGCCTCGGTTCATCGCATCGGAAAGAAAAAAGCGAAAGAATTTGGAACGATGTTTTACAATTATTTTCTTCAGTTCAGTTATACATACAGTCAGTGTGTGTCAGTCGGTAAGGCGTGTGAATAGTGTCTGTTGCGTGGCTCAAACGAAATAAAAAATGGCACATGTTTATGCGGATCGGTTTCCCAATCGAGTGCAACCAACCCCTCGTGCGTTTGTTAATGTAGTACAACGGGCTCGTGAATCAAGTGACTTAAGACCTCACAGGGGACCTCACGATCAAATACAGGTCCGCACTGAAATACTTGTCGGGAGGATACTTCATAAAACAAGGTAAACATTTTTTTTAATTTTTTTTTATTTTTACACACATATTTTGGTTTATTTTCCTTCTACAATCATTATCTGAAAATTAATGACTCAACTTCAAAGTCACCCTGTATATGTATTAATGACCTTCTTATAATCGCTAATTATAATATTCAAATATTGTAATTACTTAATGCAATTGCTAATTAGCAAAAGTACAATTTGCAATTGCCTATTAAATAATAGTATTTTTTCACGATAAAAGCTTCACAACAAAGCTTTATTTGTTAAAAGACGGATAATTTTAAATCTTATTATCTAAAAAGTTCGCGTGACTGATTTCACAGAAAATCGTCAAATTTTTATCATTCAAGTTCATTTAAAAACACTAAAATTTACTAATTATTAATTATACACGGACTGTTACTCAACAGTGCGAACTTTATTATTTTAATTTGATAGAAAATGTCGAGGGGCTATCGACACGATTTAACTGATTTAAATCACTCTTAAATCACAGTTAAATCTTAAATCACAATCGAAATTTGAAATATCCTTCAAAAATATAAAGTAAAACGCGTTATAGAGGGTTTTCGAGGTTTTCCCCGTATGGCCATATATTCCACGAAAAATGTACGGCATTATAAAAATTGTCGTTAATTTATCAAATACTATTAAAATTATTTAATTTTAAGTTGTATCAATTCACCACCATTATACTATATAAGTGTAGGGGGTTGCGACCCAAGTTTTCTCACCCCTGTACCAGCAGATATGTACTGCGTTGGTAAATTTTAAATGTAAAAAATTACAGAAAGGTAACTGTAACAATGCCGTACGTTAATTAATTAATTTTTCCGCATAGAAAATTTCTTAAGAATTAAAATTTTTTTATGGCTTCCGGCACCATTATTTCCGTACGGCACTAAGTGCATCGTGATTATTTTGAAGGCATCTGTGATACTAAAGAAAGCCGTAAAAAATCATTTAGGCCCATATCGTCAGTCGCCCCTACAATTGTAGGGCCTTTATGGCCTCCTTGATTGTCATAGTTTTCTACTCCGTGTCAGCGCTCTATTTTGAGGTTATGTCACAAACATCTATTTGCATCAAATTGTGCTTGCTTTTGAGTTATATCATGTTTTATCAGCCTGAAATTTTCTACAATTTAAAAAGAAAACATATCTTCACAATAGGAGAGCGCTGACGCTGACACGGGACAAGTGTAATCTACAAATTTTTGAAGGAGAGATAGGAGTATGACAATCAAGGAGGCCATAAACGCGCCCTACAATTGTAGGGACGACTGACGATACGGGCCTTAGTCTTTTCTGGACAGAAAATCCAATTTTCCCCTGTACTTAAATGTACCGCTCTCAAGTGACAGCATAGTGCTAGAAGTTATTTTTTCATGTAGTACTATCGTTCTGAGTAGGTTTCCTGCTGTATCACATGACCCCCCCCCATTTTTGCCTACAGCTCCCGGTCTAGTTTTTAAGCAAATCACCTCTATCTAAACGTCTGATTATTATATGCTGCTCCATCTTAGGATTATGAACCTGACTGAAACAAACATACACGCACACATACCAGTGAATTTCGCAAACGCACTTGGGGAATCACCGGCAGCGAATCTAATGTCGCAAACGCCGAAAGGGGAACTACCGGCGGCTATTTCGGATCATGCGCCGATTTCCCGAACAACTTCGATTAAAAATTATTGTATGCGATCTGTGTCGGATACAGCGGATTTCGGATAAGCGCGATTCGGGTTATCGGGGTTCTACTGTACCTTTTTTGTGGTTCAGATCAGTAAGATTTTTTAATGACTTCAGAACAAAAGAATGTACAACGATCAGTTGATTTTTTAAATTATATAACAAATACCAAAACATATTCTGTTGTTTTCTTAAGGCGTTTTCTGCTCATCTTGCTTTACAACGGAGCAACCCCAAAGGTAAAGCCTTAATGTCAGAATATCGCGACACATAAATAATTTGAGGGAATCTGTTGATACAGTGTTTAACTGACTAAGGCCCGTATCGTCAGTCGTCCCTACAATTGTAGGGCGCCTTTATGGCCTCTTTGATTGTCATAGTTTTCTACTTTTCCGTGTCAGAACTCTATTTTGAGGTTATGTCACAAACATCTATTTGCATCAAATTGTGCTTGCTTTATATATATCATGTTTTATCAGCCTGAAATTTCCTACAATTTAAAAAGAAAACATATCTTCTCAATAGGAGAGCGCTGACGCTGACACGGGACAAGTGTAATCTAGAAATTTATGAAGGAGAGAAATGAGTATGACAATCAAGGAGGCCATAAACGCGCCCTACAATTGTAGGGACGACTGACGATACGGGCCTAAGGTAAGGAGAAACCAGGAAAGCGTCTGGTCTTTTATAGCACAATTCTCGAGTGGAATAAGTGCTTCGAAAATTGGTTCGAGCGCATGAAGATGTGTATTAATCTTTGTGGAGAATACTTCGAAAAACAATAAAGTCATTTAAAACTACCTACTGTGTTGTTTTATTTCCATATGCAAAACTTAAAAGACCCAAAAAATATCTCATTTTTCGCGATAATAATATGCTTCCTCGCCCAGTGTAATCCATCAAAAATGGCATGTAAGGTGTTCAACGTTCAGTGTCCTTTTTGCAAATTCGTGCACAGGAATGTCAATACTGTAAACTCATCACTGCAAAAGAAATAAGCTCTCAAGTCTTAATAGGGCTTTGCTGGATAGATAAGTGGTAAAAAATTGTCCCAGCTCGAAACAAATGACTCGGTTTTCATGCTTATTTTCAGGGATTTCAAAATAAAGGTTCACCGGAAGTTCGAACAAACCGCTTCCAGTCTGTATGCAAAGTTTCTTAGTGGGGACCAAATCCTAAAAATCTCCAAAATTGTACACAAAGTCATGTTAAATATATGCAGATTTTAAGGTTCAACCTGTTTCTCAGAGGGGGGGAGGAGGGAGGAGGGTACGCTTTCTGGCAAGGTATGATTGCTCATCAGAACAAAATATATATTTCTCAGTAAAAAGGAATTAATTATTATATACTATACTCTATTATATATATATTCCACATATTATGTAACAACAAAATCTTTGGTTTATAATATCTATAATTTAAGATCCATATGACATTAATGGTGTAAAGCTGTATTCCTAAGATCTGTATAGAAGCGCTATTTTTTTAACATATAATACCTAGATGTCCAAATATGATTTTAGATAGCACATGCCTACTATAATAAATTAAAATTGTACACACTATGCTAGTTGAAGCCTGCAGTTGTTATATTGCAACGTGACTACATCTTTGGCAAAAGGAAGTAAGCAAACATACACACTAAATTGCTTATCTTCCGTCAATTCAATACTTATAACATTCTGAGTCTTTAAGTACTTGAAAGCACACTCTAAACAATATTACCCCATAGTACGATGTGGGCACAGATCATTTTTTTATGAATTAAAGTGCCTGTTCTTGTTTGAGTTCAAGCGCCCAGACGTGTTGAGGCCATCCAGTACGTCCCTTGGATTTCTTGTTGGACTTCATCCCATTCGAAATATCCTGTGTTCAAAGAAATCTCATTAGCATGCAACTCAAAAATCGGTCCTTCAGTAACTTCGTCAAGATAAGGTCAAATTGAGAAAACACTTATTTTTAATTTCCCGTGTTTGTGTGGCCAATAAAACCACACATACATGAAATTCTACTTTAATGTACAGGGTGGCCAAAATTGCGCCATTTTTTATACACGCATTTCAGTAGGTAGTTGTTTAAAGCACATGTGTCCAATTCATCATGGACAACGCGTCCGTATTGTTAAAACGTTTTACTTAAATAATGAGTCGATTGTTGCAACGATTCGGAAGATACGACAAGATTTCGGTCGAAATAATGTGCCCAGAGTCAACACCATTCGTCAGTTGGTGCTGAAATTTGAAAAAACAAGTTAAAGACTTGCCAATGTCGGGACGTGTTCGAACTGTTCGTACTCCGGAAAATACCGTTAGAGTTCGTGAAAGTGTAGTGGAGCGCCCTGAGACGTCTAACAGACATCGTGCTCAAGAACTGGGTATTGACCCAAAGACTACAACCTAGTGACCATGAAAGTCGCCGACAATACAGACATGCAATATTGCAGCTTAATACCCAAAATAACGATTTTTACCGACAACTGATAATGGGCGATATGAACGGATTTGCTAATAAGCAGAAAAATTGTCGTATCTGGGCATTAGAGAACCCTCGTATCATCCAACAACGACCACTACATCCTCGTCCAGCCACAGTCTGGTGCGGTGTTTTGGTATGGAGGTGTCACTGGACCTTAATTCTTTAAAGACGCTGCACGTAGTTCTCTTACTGTCACTGGCGAGCGCTACCGAGATATGGTGCAAAACCTTCTGGCTCCTCGAATCCAACAATTTAATCTGCAAAACATGTGGTTCCAGCAGGATGGAGCAACTTGTCACACAGCTAGGGAAACAATGAGCCGTATTCATAAAAGAGAAGCAAAAATGTAGAAGTATAAGCATATCCTTTTTTTCATATTCATAATGATTACCTTACACTCGCGAGGATATCCAAGAAGAAGTAAAAGGTTGACTGATATTTGTATCTTGAGCGACATGTCCTGACTTGTTCCAGCTTGTAGTGGACGTGGAAGTTCGTTCACTCAACATCACTGACAATTGTACTCCAGAGCTTACACAGACCGTTCCGTATTTTTACTGGATACAGTTTTGTATCAAATTAATAAGCATGTCATCCTCAAGTGATGAGGAAACTATAGAAAATAAAGGCAACGACCTGCAGTTCATCGCAGATGAGATTGCCATTGCTCCCATTATTTTGCAAAAGTCACAAGTTCTAAAAATAAAAATGAGAAAGGACGATGCCTTGAAGAAGATGTTGAAAAAATACGAATCAACATTCGGTAAACCATTAGATACTAAAGGCTTATTAAAAAAAATCAACAACATGAAATCAAGATTGAAGAAAAAAACAGAACTAAGAAAAACTGGTCATAAAGCAATTAAATTGTTAGATTGGAACAGAAAGTTGCTGAAATCTATGGAAGATGACTGTAATCCTACAATTCGGAAAATTAGAGGTGCCATTCAGGTTGGTAGTAATCAAGAAGAAGGAAGTGAACTATATACCGATCGCAGTGAGCAAACAGTTAGTATTACAGCGCCAGCAATTCAGAAGACAAAGCCACCAAAAAGAAAATTAGCAACAGAGAAATACGCAACTGAGGAAACCAAAGGATTAACTACAAAAGAACTGCAACGTCTAGTGCTACTACAGCAGTACCAAACAAGTATTTTACAACAAGAGTATTATAAAACGAAATTAGAAATGATGCAGCGTCAGAAGCCACCTGTAACTTATGATGGTCATGAAAATAAAACTTATTATAATTTATAAATACACTTTAATCAGTAAAACTATGTATGTATTATAATAGTCAAGTTTCTTCTTATTTGTTGACCTAGTTGGCGGAGAGGAAGTTCGTCATTCTCATGAATCCCTTCATCTTCATCTGGGTCTTGTTCAACTGACTCAAAGTCAGGGTCGCCCAAGCTCTTCGCAACATTATGGAGTACAATACAAGCAATAATTATTTTCGGCACATTTTCCAACTTTACGCGGCAAACATACTGTAGGATAGGAAACCGGCGTTTCAGTTGGCCGAAACAGCGTTCAATTATCTCTTTCTTGTTTTAAAAGCTTATCATAATTTATTTCTGCACCTGGAGTAGGATTTCTGAAGGGAGTCATAAGGCATGGCTCAATACCATAACCGTCATCACCAAGTAGTACAACATTTGCTTTATTTATTAGTTGTGATCTAGTCTGTGAATTTCTCCATCTTCTGGAATCATGCACTGACCCAGGCCAACTGACATCAACACTTGTGAACATCTCTCTGGCATCACAAGTGTCTTGCACATTTAAAGTAGGTTTCCCTTTTCGATTGATATACTCATCTCCATGGCGATTTGGTTTCAGGATCCCTATATATGTACAATCAATTACACGCATTGCTGTCGGAAATGTATACATGTTTTGCCATATCCGCTTGGCCTCCATCAGTTCATGCTTGGTAGTTGGAAACTTGATCCATTCGTTCGACTGTGCAACTATGCTGTTCACAACTCTATCCACAGTCCGAGATACCGTTGCTTGACTAACACCTTGTTGATATCCAGGGTCACCGAGATAGCGTAGACATAAATATCTTCATTTTATGAATACATGAAAGTGCTCCGCCTCGAGTTTCCTCATTCTCAATTAAAAATCTGTCCGCAAGCCATTGTACCTGTAGATTTGCTTCGTCGAACCGATATAATTTTTTGAAGTCACTACCAAGTGAAGGTAAACGAGCTTTGTACGTTTTAACATCCCTAACATCCACAATTTCCGCCATCATCGATTGACCACCTTTAATTTCCCGATTTGGTGATGTCGACTGGCCACCAAGATTTAACGGCTCCTGATTTATTTATGGGCATTTTTGAAAAATAGGGTTTATGCCGACAAACCAAATTCTGTAGAGCAGCTGAAGAAAAATATTACGGAAGCGATTGGAAATATTCTCCCCGAAACCTACCAAAAATTGATGGAAAATGTAATTAAGAGGGCTCAGGTTTGCGTGGCTTCTAGAGGCGGACTTTTGTGTGTTATTATTTTTCATACATAATTTCATAAAATAAGTTGCAATAAAATATTAAGATGAAAAAAAATGGACGTATTTTATTTCATTTCACTAATATTAAAGATGCAAATCAGTCAGTTACAGATCAGCCACCCTGTAGTACGCGTTTCGGTCACAGGTGATACTTAGTTTGGGTTATCTTTTTATTTTTAGATTCCTATACAGTCTAGCCCCCCTTAAACGACAAGCGGGAATCAGTTTTTTAATGTACCAGATACGTCACTCTCGTCCATCGCTCTGAAAACGCCAAAAGCCTCCGGAAAAACGCGATAAATGACGTGTACTGGAGAAGGTCGCCAATGTGACCGAAACGTTTACTAAATTGAAGAAGAATTTCAAATATATGTCGTTTCATTGGCCAGGCAAATATGGGAGATTATCGACCTGGAAACCGCAGGATGAGTTTCAGATGTCACATTAACATTTATATTTGTTACACTTAAGCTATTCTAGTCCATTCTACAGAAATATTTCTTTCTAGATGACAGCCATCTTCATAATCAAGTTGGCGCGAACCCTTTAAAGTGTTTTTGCAGACACTGATGTGCTCTGCCTTGGTACGATGCTCTAAATTTGGATATTGGCGAATTTCGATATAACGGACAATAAAGAGTACTGAGAATTATTGAATCATTTCTTGAATCTGGAGTTGGAAAATTGTATTTTTTGTGTAATGGCGGACTTGTACATTTTAATAGTCATAGTCATAACCATAGACATAAACATAAGAGTTAAAATGCGTATTTCTTATGAATAATTATAGTCATAAGCTTAAGCCCTTTTCATAAGCATAACAAGGTTGATATTGAAGTTTAAAAGGATTAACACTTATGATTGCAAATGATGCATATACCAGCCTTAAGTCTCAATAATTATCTCTTAAATAGTGTACAAATTAGATAATAGGTAACCACTTTGCATTAAAAAAAATAATACAGATGGATGTTTTGGAGGGCAAGCGCCTAATATATCAATTTATAAGATTAATCTGCCTTTTTCATGCATTTACAAATACAAAATGTGTGTCTGATATTTAACAAAACAGATAGTGCAAGTATATAATAAGGATCTGCAAGACTTTTTAAGATATTACCTAAGTGTTGTTTCAAAAATTATTCTCAAATGCCAAACCCGGGTCTATGTTTATAACATAACAATCCACAAGCTCTTCCAAAAAAATGTACTACGGCGCTCCCCTAGGGAGATACAGGACACTATTAGAAATCACCTTTCTTCAAACGACTTTTGAATAAGTCACTTTTTTGAGGAGGCGCTCAGTGAAATCGATATGAATAGCACTTAAATAACACTATTTTCTCAGATCATTGTGATGCAGGGTATAAAAGACTTAACAATATTTCGTTTGGATTAGTCCGGTCCTGGCGATATCTAAACGATTAACTGTTTTCCATGGACAGCTTCTTGTGAGGCCCCAACTAGTAACAAATCTTTCAAAATTTTATTGAATTATATAGCATCGTTCAAAAGTGATTTGAGATTACTGATTCCCAGCATCATATCTTAGGGGACTTGTAATCTCTATGGAAGACCCATAGGACATTTTTATAGCAACCTGTGGTATTATATTTGTGTTATACATGTATACAAAATACTGATTTGTTATTCTGTTAGACCCCCTATTACAACTCTTTATATACTAAGTGACATATAAATCCGAACACACAGTTTAAATGGTTTTATTTTAATAAAATTTTGTATAAGTACTTAATGACGCATAATAAGTAAATAATAAAAATTTCAAAATGATTGCACTGCTTTAAAGCCTTTTGACCTTTAATAATGTGTGGATGCACCCTGATGTGCTACGCATTCTCCAACGCGC